TGTTGAGTTGACCTTTATAATGTGGCAGTCTTTTATGTCTCTTGAACAGTTTCTAGCCTCAAGTTATTTGTCCAATGCATGTGTAGCCACCCTGTTCTCTCAGTTACCATTCTTGCCCCCAAGTACGCTCCCCGAGCTCTTCTGTCTGAATGCCATGGAACTGTGGACAACCTCACAGGGCCAGGATGAGTCCTGGATGCCATCAGGACCCCATAGCCTGCTTTCTGGGATAACTTCCTGGTAGATGACTCCTGCAGGGTCTATTGTCACCCCGTGAGATACAGCAGCAGGGTCATTACTGATGTCAGAGCTGTCACAATTCTTTACCACCCCTCAACACCTAGTCTTAAGATTAAAGTTTTTATTCAGTGTGTCCAAAAGAGCCTCAGTGGCAGTGAGCAGACATTGAGCTGAACTGTAACCACATCAGCCAGAGTCTTTAAAATTGAGGAGCTTTCATTTACCTTAATTGACATAATTGTACCTTGAGAAAATTGAACGTCGGCACAAAGCAGTTTGGAAATTTCCACATGTACTTAAATTTGATGAATAAAAAACCTGAGCAATGTATTATTTTAAAGAAAAGTCTGCCCATGATTCAGCAGTCCCAGGCATTTTCTATTGGTTACCTATCACTCCGTCTTTCCTATCTATGTCAGTCAGAGTGCTCCTAGGGACAGATGGAGCTCTAAAATTCACAGAAGCAAGAGTGACATTATCTATACAATGATGGATGGGACCTAGGGATCTGCAATGCATAGTGTAGACACTGGGTCAGTAGCAGCTGAGCTGTCATCACTATAAGGCCCAAGGGCTCAAGGGAAGGAGTAGCCACTGGCGAAGCATGCCAAGGCCCTCTGGATGGACCTATATGTTAGGTCAAGGGACACAGTCAACCAGTTCTCCCCATCCAAAAGGGAGCAGGGAATTTACTTCCTGTCCTCTCTTGCTCCTGTATACTACTCCAGAATGATTCCCAACATTTTCCTTCAGTAGACACAACCCAAAATCAAGGCCAGGGCAGCAGTTAGCATTTGTCAAACTGAAAGGGGACAACAGGGTGCAAACTGTAGTAAGACATGATGATCCTGGCTGTGGGGCTGTGAACTTAGCACAGAGGGTATGCCTGAAGGCTGCAAAATTGAGCCCTGGCTGGAAGACAGACCTCCTCTAGGCAGAGGCCAGCCTGAGGTGGGAAGAACAGGTCTGTGGTGTGGCTGCCCAGGGTAGAAAGCCTCCATAGGAAGAGATAAGATGTTATATTGAGGGCTGATAGTTGAGGGGATAAAAAAGTGAGACAGGAAGAATCTAGAACACAGGCTGGTGGCCTGGACAACCCGGACGATGTGGGGTCACATCAGGGCAGAACAGAGAGGAGGGCCCAGAAAGATGTCTGCATATTATAGGTGAGGTGCCTTGGGGAGAGAATTGACTTAAGACCGTGCAGGCTGCCACTCCTTTATGCTCTAGGCCTTGGCCTTAGCATGAGCTGCCCGAGCATCATCACCTTGCCCTCTTGTGTCTGACTGGATGCATTTCCACTTCTATTCCAGACTCTTGAGGGCATGCTAGGGGTGGCTTTCCTCACATGCTAAACTCAGTGGAATGAGACTGTTCCCAACAGCAAATGTATCACAGAGATGTAACACCTTTAGAGAGAGAAAAGCTGAGCTGGACACTTATTAGCTGAACTCTGCTATTTCCCAGGATCCTGCATGTGGCACTTCTCAGGGGATACTACATCTTACCACTAGTCAGTTTTTCATAAAGTTTTGCTTCCGGACAGTTTTCATTTAGAAGAGGGCAGTTAGATGAGTCAGGAGGCCTGGGGACTTGAACTAGAAGAGTGTTTCCTAGGAGCTTAGATTAAATGTTAAAGGATGTGTTCTGTTGCTAAGGCCACCACAGTAGAGTACCACAGACTGGGCAGAATTGATGACAGAGGTTAATTTAATTTGTTCAGTCTGGATCCTAGGAGGCAGAGGCCCTAGTGTTAGGTGGGCTGATTTCACTAGAGGCTTCTTGGCTTCTTGGCATGTGGATGGCCACGTGTCTTGTGTCCTCTCATCACCATCCGTCTAAGTTTTTGTTTCCTAATCTCGTCTTAGAAGGTCACTATTCAGATTGGATTAGAGACTGCCCTAATGACCTCATTTTAACCCAGTGACTTTATTAAACACCCTGTCATATCTTAAAGTCCTAGGGATTTTATCTTATGGATTCTATGGACAGTGTAGTTGTGCCAATGATAACAGAGAGGAAGATGCTGAGGGCAGCTTGATGGATTCCCTTTCTCCTGGGCATCTTTGGAACTGAGTCTCATACCTGTGTGGCCCTGGATCTGTTCCAGTGTTGGTGGGAACTCTTCCTGTCAGAAGTCCAAGGCAGCCCTCTGGTTGCTGAGGGCTGGGATTCCACTGGTGATTCTCTTCTCCAGACTGCTTTCCACCTCTTTTATGGGAGCTGTTCCCACAGGAATGTATCACTGTAGCCTTGTATCTGCTCCCTGTCCCTGCTGCTGTGATCCTTACATAGGCTGATGCAATTCTGGTGATGAGTTTCTACCTTGCTTGGTTTGATTATAAGTCACAGTATAGGAACTGGGGTATAGCTCAGTGGTAGAGTTCTTGCCTTGCATTTCTGAAGACCTGAGTTCAGGCGTAATTACAGCACAAACACACACAGATACATACACACACAGATGCACACAGATGCACACACACAGATATAGACACATACATAGTCACACACACAGAAGCACACAGACACATATACACACAGATGCACACACACAGATACGGACACACACACACACACACACACACACACACACACACACACACGGTAGGGGGAGGCATAGAGAGACTGAGACAGAAAGCACAGGAGAGTCCTCAGTACTTGGGAGGCTGTTTTTAGAACTCTTCACTGCTGATACTAAAACTCACAGTTGCTCAAATCCCCTATGTGAAAATGGTATGGTGTGGTATAGTATTTCACATAACCCACACATATCCTTTTATATACTTTAAACTATACGACTTATAAAACCTAATACAGTGTAAATGTCATGTAAATAGTTGTATACTGTATTATACAGGGAATAACAAGAAAAAAATTTTTACATTTTCATTACAGTTTCCCCCAAAATAACTCCCACTTATGTCTGATTGAACGTTTACTGAACAAGATGATGTGGAGGTCTGGCTGTAGTTGCTAAAAGTGCATATTAGAAGAAGGCTGAATCTGAAATACTGCTCTTGTTTTCGCTGAGTTTATCTCATTCCTAGAGAGGATGACTTGGATGATAGTTCTTTACTGTTGCCCTAGAGAAGTAATTTCCACATCTTACTGTCCCTAGAGAAACATCTGTTTGAAAATACAGGTGGGTGTCCTCTCCCTGGGACAGTAATGGAGCAGTGCTGTGTATGCTGTGTATGTAGCTGTCTTGCACCAAACAATCTCTTAAAGCTGAGCTCAGAGAGGTCTTCAATCTTGAACCTCTCTCTCTTGGCATTGCCAGTGTCTGAGCTGCCAGCACAGTGCTGTGGGATACCTTCCTGCATAGCCCTTTCCATGTGTTCTACAGAACTGACCTGACTGGTGAATCAGAAACTTAAACTGCAGCATCCAAGCATGCATTTTGTTCTTGATTTTTTTTAAGCTTCTCTTCTTCACTAGAAAACATATTTATTTCTGTGGTTAGCATGTGTCACTCTAGGAGCTGGCAGAAGGGAAAGGCTTTCAGAGGTGTGAGCTGCCAGGAGAAGACATTTGGATTCTGGGTGTGGGGGAAGGATGTCTGTGGAGGCTACAGAAAGGTGGCTTTTTGGAAAGTGTCTTTTCAGCATCAGTACTCAGAACAGGATAAGCCAGGCTTCTGCTGTAGTTCTGGAAGTCTCCAAGACCTGTCCTGTGACCTGTATATTGGGCTTCTGAGACTGTATCTGTCCCGGTGTGGTCCTAGCATGGGCTGTCTGGCCAGTACTCGTCATTAGACCAAGAGGACAAATTTGAAAGCCAGTGGCTTAAACTTGGACAGTACTTTTCAGTCTATACAGCACTAAAACACTTTATAACCCTGTGTCATGGGTGTTAACACATCTCAGATTAAATATACTAATACTTCAAATAATAATGACTAACTTTATAAGAAAAATTAGATGTAAAAATGTTGCCAATATTGAGGCTAAGGAGATTAATGGATAAGAGCACTTGCAAGCATGAGGGCCTGAGTTTAGATCCCCAGCACCCATGTAAAAAGTCAGGTGTGATCATGCAAACCTATGACACCAAGGCTGGAGAGAGAGGTGCAGAGACAAACAGGACTGCTGGGCTTGGTAGCCAGCAAGCCTGGCTGAAAATGACAAGCTCCAGTGAGAGACCCTGCCTCAAGGAAATAAGACATAGAGTGATAGAACAGGACACCCGGTGGCCTCCTCTGGCCTCTATGCTCGTATCTACATACACATGTACACATGTACACACACATGCACACACACAAAAAAAAAAACAGAAAATGTTGCCAAAATTAATGTCATTCCCCCTTTCTAGCGGCATGCATTTGTTTGTGTGAAAACATAAGGTGCTGAGGAGGACAAGCATTTCCCCATGCAGAGCACACATATACCAGCAATCAACTAGCAAGACTGTCCTTATCAGTATGTGTCCCAGCTCCACCCTGCTGCTCCAGAGTCTGTCCCCTCTGTCTGGGTAGTCAGTCACTGACGTCAAAACAAGCCCAGGCAAAGCAAATAAATATTAGCTTTTGAGCATGTTCTGGATGGCCAGTTACTAAGGAGTAGCAGTTTCCCCTCTGCTGCTTTGGAGACCTACTGGGACAAGTGCCCTTGCTGGAGGCTCCATTTCCCCTTTCCTGCCCAGCATCCAGGCTTCCCAGAGCTTCTCTTGTATCAGGTCCTTCTTTCCCTAAGCAGTGCTGATTGAGATGCAAGGTAGTATGTGCAACTAGGTGACATTCCACATGCCTTGTTCCTTAACAGCATACACAGCAATGGGGAGAGGGCCGGGCTGCATAAAGAAAACCTGCTTCTTCGGGGATGCACCATCAGGAACACAGAAGCCGTGGCTGGCATCGTCATCTATGCAGGTAAGCATAGGCACTTAGACCACGTGTTGCCACATGGTGCTCTATGTTCTCCAACATTTCTCCTTACTTCTGGTTGTAAGAGTTGCATATACTGATTGTAGAATCTTGGGAAGTTTAGGAAAACAGAAAAGTGCAAAAGCAAGGTTCTTCTAATGTATCTTAACCAAAAGTGCTCTCTTTTGGCATACTTCCTTCTATTCATTTCTCCACAGTTGTTATGAAGGTCTGTTCATTCTGTACCCTATGATTTTGATCAAGAATATCACCCAACTATAGTCAGGCTGCAAGATATAATTCAATTGCTCTGTAGGATCCAGTTATTGATCTCATCTGTAAGATACTGGTATACCATGTCCCTCCATCCTTCCCTCCAGGACATGAAACTAAAGCCCTGCTGAACAACAGTGGGCCCCGCTACAAGCGCAGCCAGCTTGAGAGGCAAATGAACTGCGATGTGCTCTGGTGTGTCCTTCTCCTCGTTTTTATGTCTCTATTTTCAGCAGTAGGTAAGTCTCCTAAGATGGGTCTCAAGTAAGTAGATGCTGCTGGGTAACTTCCAGGCAATCTAGCATCTTAAAGGTCAAATACACCATCTTAACTGGCTTAAATTCCAGTGATATCTGGATCAGCAATATACATATTACCAAAAAGAACTTTATAAAAAGAGAAAAAATTATTTGGGTCCTAAGAAGGGGCTAGCAGGTTACACCAGCTTTTCAGGAAAGTGTTTTGAGGCCCAAGCACATGGCACCCACCCTGGTCAGCTGTTAGCCTGGACCAGGTATGTGTAACATGGTCTCGAGGCATAGTCTCAGATGGTAAAAGACAGAGCCGCACAGACTATCAAACGGCTTCTGTTACCAGATAGGTTGTGGGACTCAGTTTCTGAACTAATGTTCCTTACCCTTGGATTCTCAGGATCTGTACACATGACTTTTTAATCTCCAAGGAACAGCAGTAGGCAAGATTGAGGAGCCACTGCTTCTTTACCAAGCAGCTCATGACACTGGCTTTGTGTGTGTGTGTGTGTGTGTGTGTGTGTGTGTGTGTGTGTGAAATGCACTTGGAGGAAATTCCTCTCCCAGCCCATAGGCAGTTCCTGGATCATAACTAGTGGTGCCATTCAGCACCAACAACAGGAAACTTGCAACTGGAAACCTTGGGGTGGGGAATTCTTGCTTTGTAGTCCAGGTTGGACTAGGTGTACGATCTTTCTGCCTCAGCCTCCTGAGTGACATGTTTACAGATGTGCAGTAGCACACCCAGTTCAAGAATCTCTTGATGTGAGGAAAGAACACTATGTGCTTTTGCTTTTCTCCAGGGTAAAGAAGGCTGATAAACCAGATGTGCCATGCCCAGTAACAATCTTAAAACTTTGCCTTAATTTTCCCAAGCATCCTTTTTACTTTTCTGTCAGATGAATGATACCTCTCTTTGAATATGTGCAGGACATGGATTATGGGTATGGCGCTATCAAGAGAAGAAAGCATTGTTTGATGTCCCCGAGTCTGATGGCAGCTCTCTCTCCCCAGCCACAGCTGCGGTTTACTCATTTTTGACAATGATAATAGTTCTACAGGTAACAATACGAAGTATTGTATAATTGCATTACTTTTCTCGGGAGAATGCAAAAGCCATCATACTTGCTAAGAATTCCTTATAAACCTGCATCAGGAAGGACCACAAATGTGTGTTGCTTTTTATTTCTCTACTTATTTGTAGGCTATTTCTCTGACTGATTTTCAAGTTAATGCTCTCCTTTGTTTATCTTAAAATTCTTAATGATCTGAGGATTTAGTTTTCTGCCATTATGCCCTTGCTTTTCTGCCATTATAATAATAATTATTATTAATTTATGGTGCCTGAGATTGACCCAAGAGCTTCATGCATGCTAAGTAAGTTCTGTGCCACTCACTTATACCCTCAATCCCAATTACTATTTAAAAAAAAATTTATTTGGAAGTAATTTTTAGATTTACAAATCTGTGCAGACACTAATGGACAGCATCCACATGTGTCTTTTGCCCAGGTTCACCTAACGTGAGCATATTATATTGATAATGGTATTTTGTAAAAACTAAGAAACCAACCTGAGTGCTTTGCTGTGAGCTGAACTCCAGACAGTGCTTCACTGACAGCATCCATCTTTCTGCTGATGCTCTTCTCTGGGATTCATTCTGACGTCACTGCCTGCACTTTCAGTAGCAGTAGCTGTAGTATTTATTGTATTGGCTTTCAGTAGCAGTAGTATTCAGAAGCCTCCCATCCTTCAGTGGGAGTCTGCACTCAGGAAGGTTTGTTAAAGAATGGGGATGGTCCCAGAGCTCCCAAGGCTGAGAAGCGGCAGTGAGGGTCCCTAACCTGTCAGAGAACATAGAATGACCAGAGGACATGCTCAGCCTTGCCTGAGAGAACTCGTATGTTTTTTGTACAGTGGGAAACAGCCTTATTTAACATTCCAAATTAGTTCCTTTTTATACATGCAAATTTTTGTTCTAGCCTTGAGCTAGGATAATAGTTGGTATCTCATTAGCATAATTAATTAACTAGGAGAACCCAGTTAATATGAATATGTATTCTGGACCCATAAATATTAGTTCAATACTGTGGCTCTACAAAATAAACAAACATTCATTTCAAGAAAGTTGATCTTACATTATGGAAAAAACCTGGATTTTTTTTCAAAGTCTTCTTTCCTTTGCTCTTTATTGCATGAGATCACAGAAATTGCCCTTCAACATAAAACCAGCTTCTCAAAAGATTGTTTGCATTTTGTGGCAGCTCCCTAGACCTTGGGTCAAATCCTTGAGTGACAGGCAGCTCCCATAACTGGGGCCCAAGGGAAACCTGAGGTCAAGTGCTGCTGTAGTTAGAGGTGACTTTGCTTATGAGGTCTCTGACGGTGCCATGTTATATTCTCTCTTCTCTTTCCTTTCCTAGCCTCTCTCAAGCACAACTTAGTCTCCAGGCCATCGTTACCTTTCCAGACACGGGAGTGGATTCCCGCTCTGCAGTTACACCGGCCTAGGCTATCCTAGTTTAAACTCTTTGCCAGTACTCTAATCCTTTTACACTAGTGACTTTAAACTCACCTATTTAAGCCTTAAAGGTACAGTACAGTTCCTGCTTCCTTGTGGTTGTAGCATTTGTCATTTAAATAGATTAGGTTAATTCCACTGCTCCTGTCCTCACAGTTACTGATCTTGCCTGCCTGTGTCTTCTAGGTTTTGATCCCAGTTTCCTTGTATGTTTCCATTGAAATTGTTAAACTATGCCAAGTGTACTTCATTAACCAAGACATAGAACTGTATGATGAAGAGACGGACTCACAGCTGCAGTGCCGAGCTCTGAACATCACGGAAGACTTGGGGCAGATACAGTACATCTTCTCAGATAAAACTGGCACTTTAACTGAGAATAAGATGGTCTTCCGAAGATGCACCGTCTCCGGCATAGAATATTCGCATGATGCAAATGGTGAGTCTGGGGCGGGGAGGGACTTCCAAGCACTGGACAAGAAAGCTGCTATCTCAAAGCCCCATGGGAGGAAGGAAGGGAGAATCTGTCCACAAGCTTCAAGGATTGCTGGTTTTCAAGGGAGCACAAAGCCTTGGCTGTCACTTGGGAGCCCGAAGCCCCAGTGCTATTTATAGAATGCGCTGACATCGCCCTGCTTGCCGCAGTATCTGGAATGATAGACATCTGTTCTGGCTCTCATTTTCTGCCAGGCCAGCACAGCAACCAGGCAGAGCACCCTTGAGGAGCCAGTTTCTGCAGCGTGCAGTGGCTTCACTTTGCCACACAGAGGGACAAAGATTTTTCTGTTGTCACTCGTCTATCTTCCAGTTATCAGGTGAAAGTTATCAGAAGGGCATTGGATGTCTTATGCTGCCTCTGGTCTGTGGGAGCTGAGAAAAGTGAGTGGCTTTACTAATGATTACTCAGGCAGCCTCGCCTCCTCTCCTCTTTCCTTATCCTTTGCTGCCTCCTTCCTTGCTGAAGGAGGGCTCAGGGGAAGCCATTGGCTACCTAAGCCACCTGGCCCCCACCCTGCCAGGAGAGGGCACTGTGGTGAGGGTGCCTGCGTCACAGCAGCTTTTTTGGAGTCACAGCATCTCCAAATAACGCCCCTTTGCTCTGCAAACAGAAGCCTTCTTTCTTCCTACAAAAACAATAAACATCAAGGAAACGGTGCCCCCAAGCAGAAGCAAGTATAAAATGGGAGCAGCAGCGAATGGCTTCATCTGGAACTCCTGAGCTATCTCTCTAGCCCCCAAGAATTACATTGATACCCACTGTCTTTATACGCTGTTAAGCAGAAGGCATAGGACTGTACCTACTACTGTTCAATGTTTTTTTTTCCTATTTTTAAATTTATTTATCTTTATTTTATGTGTATGAGTGTGATGTATGTGTGTAAGTGCACTCGTGTTGTACAGTGCCTGCGGAGGTCAGAAGAGGGGTTGGATCTCCTGGAACTGGAGTTATAGACAGTTGTTAGCTGCCATGTAGGTGCTGGGATTCAAACCAGGTTTTCTACAAGAACAACCAGTGTTCTTAACCACTGAGCCATTTCTCCAGCCCTGTGTTTAATGTTTTATTTGTACCCAAAATAAACTCCTAGTGGTGGTCTCCATGCCTTCATCCATCTGCCCTGTCTCACACTCTAACCCTCCTGCCTCCTCTTCCTGGTCCCCAACTGCTAAGCTTTGTGTAGTAGAATTATTCCCAGGCAGTGTGTTTGCAGCAGCCTTCCACAGTTGGGACCCAGTTTCAGACAGACGAGAACAGATTTGAGATCACCTGCACAGTTGAGTGACTCTAGTCAATACTGATATTTCCAATTGGTAAGGTGATGGATACACTAATTAGCTTGATGAATATGTATAGCACATTTCATACATAGATAAAAACAAAAAAATCTGTACTCTGTAAATATGTACAGCTTTGATTTGTCAATCAAAGATAGTATTAATAATATATTTTTTAAAAAGTAATAAAGTTAAGGTCTGAGACTCCATTGGACATAGAAAGGGGCCTATACCAGTGAGCACCCTCATCCTAGCCTAAGTTCCCTGCATTTCTGTTTGGAAGGCACATGGACAATGTGTCTAATTTGCCCGGAAGGGCCTAGTGAGACAGCCCACTAACATGATCCTAGGGTAAGAGGGATTGGCGAATATTTGAAGAGCCCTGTTGTATAGGCAGGCCTGCACAATCTGCTTGCCTTTCTCCAGACCAGCATGCATAACTAGGCTCTACAGAAACAGAGGAGCTGTTGGAAGCCTGTGTCTGTCCATACCTGACTTGTTGGTCGAGTATGGAGGGTACCACTGTGCCATACTAGACAGAACCCAAGCTTTGGAATCCCTTGGAGTTGGGTGTTACCTGAATCTTTCTGTCCTTGTGTCTTATGACCTTAGCAAGTGCCTTAAATTATCTGACATGAGATTTGGTCTTTTCACCTGTGAAAGACTTTGATTTGATGCTACCATCAAACAAGAAAATTCTGTTGCTTCCAGAGGGTTTGACCAGTCACTCAGTTGATGAAGGGTACAGGGTGAGACTGCTCTCTTTCACCTTGTCAGTGAAACTGACTAAATGCCACCTTACCACAAGAGAGCAAAGACAGAGGTGTTCTCTGGGGGACCTTGCCAGAGCCTCATGGACCCCAGAGTACCCTGAATTGACTCAGACTGCCCCCATGATGTCTTACCCCATGTCCCTGTCCCCACAGCCCAACGTCTGGCCCGGTACCAAGAGGTGGATTCAGAAGAGGAGGAAGTGATATCCAGGGTGGGTACAGTGTCCCAGCGTGGCAGCATTGGGAGCCATCAGAGCATCTGGATCACTCACAGGAACCAAAGTATCAAAACCCATCGGCGTACAAGCAGCCGAGCTGAGGCCAAGAGAGCCAGCATGTTGTCTAAGCACACAGCCTTCAGCAGCCCCATGGTGAGTGCGGAGAGTGTGTGGCCCTGCTAGAGAGAGGCCAGCTTGCCCTCCTGCTTTCTTCCCACTGTCATTGCCTCTGATCATCAAAAGTATCTATATTTAATCACACGAATAAGCTCTACCTTGGCTGAGCTCCACGAATAGAGGCTTTCCTGGACAGCACCTCTCTTACCATTGTATCTTTTCCAAAGCACTCATACAACTTCTTTGCCGTGGTGTCTGTTGGTGGGTCGTTGCCAGGTGAGCTGGGGTGACAGAGAGGAAGCCAGGCCAAACAAAATGAACAAAACATCAGAACAAGATGATAAGTGTGAAAAAGCAGAGCCAATTCCACACCCCAGCCCCAAGTTTTAACTAGAGAGCACAAAGCTAATAAAATTACTTTCTCTCTTATGCTACCTATGGCCCACATGCTTATCGACCATTTTCATCAGGCCGGGAAATTTCTAGAAGTCAGCGACAGGTCCTAAAAGATCCTTTCACTTCTGAAATGTTTTAAGAACAGAGGGAGAACTCTTTTGTGTTGAGCCTGGTAGCTTCATTCTTTTATGACTTTCCAGGCCCATATAGAAGCTACCATTTAAGTATAGGTGATCTAGAAGTGTGGATGGTAATCTGTGGACTTCACCAGGCATATGGGAAGAAGAGCTCTGGGAGACAAGAGGAAGACTGCTTTAGAACGTATTTTCCTTCCAGCATTCTTCAATACATGCCAAGAATACATGAAGTATTCAAACTTTTGACCTAGTAATTTAATGGTTCAGTCCAAGATGACTGCACACAGAAGTCTACCACCAATGTGTTATTTATATCAGCAGAATGGGAAAGTCAAATGTCTAGTGATAAATAAGTGATTATATAATGATGGTATGTCTATCTACTTTGAAGATGTTTTTAAAAGATATGTTTTCATATAAAAAAAAACCTTGAAAAGTTTGGGCAATATCATATTTTAAGGGAAAACTGCCAATTGGTATATAAAATATGGTAATTACTGTTTTAATTACATGTAAAAAGAAGTGATTCCAAGAAAATATAGAAGCTGAGTCTTCAGAAAATATTATTTTGTGGGGTCGTGTGATATAAATTTGTTGAATTTTTCTAAACAAATAGTAGATCTTAGATATATTATTTCATAAGAAGTATATTCATATATAGTAAGAATATATACATTTGCTTCCCTGTGTGAGTAATGTATTTTATATAATTGAAGTTATATGTATTATACAATTGTGAAATGGCATGCCTATTCATAAGATAAAATTCTGTTCATACCTTAAAATAAAATCAAGGCCTCCTAAATACTTAAATTTCAGAACACTTGGCAGGTTACTGGGTCAGACTCACCATGCACCTCTTTTCTCTTCCCAGGAGAAAGACATTACACCTGACCCTAAGCTATTGGAGAAGGTGAGCGAGTGTGACAGGTTCCTTGCCATTGCGAGTCACCAGGAGCACCCTCTGGCCCACCTCTCACCAGAGCTGTCTGATGTTTTTGACTTCTTCATTGCACTTACCATCTGCAATACAGTAGTTGTCACATCTCCAGATCAGCCACGACAAAAGGCAAGTTCTGTAGTATCCTTGAGAGCCCACGGTGCCCTTGACCTCCTCTGAGCACTTCCTGTTGTAAGTCTTGCCGAAAGTAGGCATGCTTCCCTTTACTGTAGGAAGCCAATCATTGTCAGTGCCTCAGGTTTAAGACTATGCAGCAGGGTGCTTCATATACAGCAAAGCAGCACATCAGGCTGTAGACATATGACTTTGAGAGGACCTACTTCCCATGGTACCTCTTGAGCACCTTGGCTTTGAGCATAAGGCAGAAAGAAGACTAACTCAGAGCTTCAAGCTTCTAGATTCATACAAGAGAGAAGACAAAGATGGGCTGAGTGCAGGTCTCCTGGTCAAGATGATTGATCTTTAATCTGGATTTGTGCCTTAGGGCGGTGATGGGATTTACAGAAACAGCTCAAAGTCAAGTTTTGGTGCACAGAAAATATGTGGTATTAAGAAATACATTCAGCATCGTCTTCAAGTGAATGGGAGAGAAACCATCAGAGGTTATTTAGAGTGATGGAAATGGCAAGTTAGGTATGGTTTGGTCTAGCATTAAGGTTCTTTCTGGGGAAAGGAAATGTTGATGAGCAAAGGGATCCTGTATAACCCAAGTATTCCTCAGAGAATCATGCACTGTAAGCCAGGCTACATACGGGCTGCATGTGAGCCTGGACATGCATATAAAGCAAGATAGTTTGGAGTGGATGGAAATGAAAGTGTTCAGGGGTAGATGTGAGCCCCAGACCTGCCCCTCAACAGCCTCCTGGCTTAGCTCTTCAGAAGCCTCCACTAATGGAGCTGCTGGTGGATGACACAGGGTAAGCATGGTTGTACGATGCACTCTACCATGGCAGCATATCAGAAAAGCAGTTGCTACCCAACTGTGCTTTAATCCTGCTGTACCAGGCTGGTGAGGCCCTGGAAGACCTCCCAAGTGGGCAGTTCTGTACCCTCAGACCACAAACTTGTGCTGCCAGCTTTCTATATAGCTATCTGAGCATCCCTTACCTGGCCTTTGGGATCTTCTACCATCCAGCATTAAAGCCCTCTACATCCCTGTAGCCGTGGGTGTTTCCTAGGTTCTAGATTCCTAGGTTCTGTCTAATAGTCAAACTGAAGCAGTTGCTGTTTAGCAAGAGGCCCCAGTGTGAACTGAGGCTTGTTCTGAAGATCATACGTGCTGTCAGTTCCACATAGAGAACAAAATATTTAATTGCCCACCCTCAGGCTACAAAGGAACATTCTGGATGCATTTCTGTACCCACGTAATGGTGAGTGCCACCTTCAAGAGCATTTGGAGCCACTGGGTGCTATAAGGTGGCTGCCTACTTCCCCCACCCAGACATGGAGCATATTTAAAGTCATTATACTGGCCTCAGAGGTGTAAGTCAATGACAGAGTATAGGCTTAGCGTGCATGAAGTTCTGGATTCAATCCCCAGAATCAAAAGAATAAAATATAGAGACACTCTAGGACCAGAGAGAAAATGTTTCTGTGGTTAGTCCTGGGTCTTACTCTGCCCCCTCACTTTTCTGGAAGCTACTACAGTAATTCACAACTTTGGACACAAAGGATCAATTATAAAATTTTAAGAATTATTGTATTACAGTTTAGGATTGTTTCAACATTTGCTCTTTAAAGAAAGAGTGGCTCCATTGTTCTGGTATGACTTCCTGAACCTTTAACAGTTTCAGATATGTAACTCCTTTTCTTTCTTATATTGGTTAAAATATTTTTTAGTGATTTGGATCCTGAACCAGCCTATGTATTAATTTGCTGAGAGAGTCTTTGGAGTTTACACATGTGATTTGTATATAAATATTTTGTGCACACATTCAAATGAATATATAAAACAGTCTTTCAAGTAGCCCAGTCTGGTCTGGAATGTGTGAACCTTCTGCCTCAGCCTTCTGAGTGCTGAGATTACAGACCTGGGCCACCATGTTGGTTCTTCAGCTTTTGTTTAATTTGTATGTGTGTGTGTGTGTGTGTGTGTGTGTGTGTGTGTGTGTGTTGGGGATGGAGTAGTTTTGTTCCTGGCATCAGGGTGCGTTGCTACTCCTCTGAGGCACTTACACAAAGTGGGGGGCAACTGGGATTCTCTCACCTGCCTTCCCTCTGCCTCTCTGGCAGGTGAGGGTGAGGCTTGAGCTGAAATCCCCTGTGAAGACCATAGAAGATTTCCTTCGGAGATTCACCCCCAGCCGCCAGGCTTCTGGCTATAGCAACACTGGGAACCTGGCCACCAACAAGTCCAGCCACAAATCAGGGTCCAGTGTCCTGTCCAGCCTATCCCAGGACAGCATGCTACTTAAGCTGGAGGAGAGGCTGGGACAGGCTGCATCAACCCTTGCACCCAACGGCTACAGCAGCCAAGCAGGCCAGGCAGAAGGCTGGGCCCCAGAGGGCACAGGAGAGCAGAAGCACCTTGGGGAGCAGAAGCAGGGGCTGAAGCCTGATCTAGAGCTTCGATATGAGGCAGAGAGCCCGGATGAGGCAGCACTAGTGTATGCAGCCAGGGCCTACAGCTGCACACTGGTGCACCGGCTACAAAACCAGGTGTCGGTGGAGCTGCCCCACCTGGGCAGGCTCACCTTTGAGCTCCTGCATACGCTTGGCTTCGACTCCATCCGTAAGAGAATGTCGGTGGTGATCCGCCACCCACTGACCGACGAGATCAACGTCTATACAAAGGGGGCTGACTCAGTGGTCATGGATCTTCTGCTTCCATGTTCCTCAGGTAACTCCTGCCTCTCCCACCACACCCCAGAGCGAGGGAGGACATTTTGGGAAGTTCCACCCTGTTGGGCAGAGGACTTTTCATTTATCTTTGGTGTAATGAGGTACCCTTGAGAGAATCATGATTCTCCAGTTCCAAGGACTTAACATTGGCAGAGTTTAGGGGGCTCTGTACATGGGTTCTGCCCTCATCTGCCCTTCGACAAGGCAAGTTGGGGGTCACTGGGGAAGCATCAGTGTTTAAATATGAACAATGAACATTGGGAACTTTTAGACTAGAAATTCTGGAAATTTCCTTCTTGTCACAGATCTGAGGCAGCTTTGAGGTCCAGGCTATAGTCTTCAGGCTGTTTGTAGAACTGCCTGAAGCAAGAGTGGTGACCCTTGTTCTCATTGGGCCAAGCAGCCTCTTGTCAGTGCCTTTTCACCATGTAGGCACTGAAAACCATAGTGCAATTAGCCTGTAAAAGGGGCTGTAACTCTGTCCAACTAGAAATTCTCCTGGATTGGGAGGGAAGGGAACGGTCTTCCCTCTTTCAGCACTGAATTGAGAACCTAGGAGAGTGGGATCGCCTCTGGGAATCAGGAGGGGTGGAGGCCCGGTAAAGCTAGTGACCAGAGGAGTCCTGTCCAGTACCCTACTGCCAAATACCTGCATCCTTCCCATTTCTCACATCCTGAAAGTGGCTTGTGTATCACCTGCTATGAAGCACTGCTCACTGAGTAGGCCTTTCTAGAGCTTTCTATGCTCATGACTAGAACAGGCTTCATTTGGGGTAGACTCCTATTCATGGGCTGATTTCCCATTCCAAGATTCACTCCTTCCTCATTCTTTTAGTTGTTGTTTACATCTACACAGTAGAAAACTGTGGAGAAGGTGGTTATCAGTAGATTTTCCTCTTCTTCCAAGATCACCTCTGTCCTAGCTCATAGCTGTGCATTAAAGACAGGATAGTGGATCTCTAGGCTTCAGCGTCTAACACACATGTAATGAATGGGTCATAACAAAAGTGAAAGGCCTGTGGGAAAGGGATTGTAGGGGTAGTGGGAGGGAGATTAAAGAGGCTGGGGGATTATAGCAATGAGAATGCATTTTATCCCTGTATGAAATTACCAAAGAATGAATTCACTAGCATGCAGAGGTGGGATACGGGCAGCAGAAGAGATCCATCCTCTCAGAGGGAGGGTAGTGAACCCTGCTGAGCTGGGCAAGAAAACAGGAGCCATGGATGAGGCCAAGGAAACACGAGCCTTGGACGAGGCCACAGCAATGCTACGTTTGTACTCTGCTAGTACATTTTTTTGATCAGTAGAAATTCTCAGCTGTATAGAAAAAGCATACAGAAAACTTATAAATAACTCTTGCTAATGCCATCTGCTAGCTTTCCATCACCTTAACAAAATACCTAAGAAGATCAACCTATATAGAGAAAGGGTTTATATCGGCTCACAGTTTGGAAATTTTAGCCCATAGTTAATGGACTGACACCCTATCCTTCTGAGGACTATGATGAGGCCACGTGTCATTATGGGATCATGTATTGGAACAAACTTCTTAATTTTTGGCCAGGAAACAACAGTAGAAAGAGAGGTATCCACATCCTACTGTCCTCTTTGACCTAATGACCTCCTGCTAGGCTCTACTTCTTGCACATCATCGCCTGAAACAGTGAGACCAAGCCTTTACCACGTGGGACTTCAGAGGATGCTTAAGATACAAATTGCAGCAAAAACTTTTTCATTTACAAAGTGATACAAGGGAGATCAGGGTCCCTTTCTAGGGTCCTTGGTCTCATTCAAAACATATTTAAGAATGGACTGAAATAGATGCTTTAGGACAATTTTACTAGAATTTAAAGAAGAATCCTCAGGGCAAGCAAGCCATAAATCTCAGCAGCTGCCTTGAGGAGAGGAATGAAGGGGAGAAGGGAAAAAGCCATGAAGCCATTGTCAGTTTAGAGTGTACATGGAGGTCAGACAGACACCACATGGTAGACTGGCAGCCACATGGTAGGGAGAGGAAGGGAGCTTTGGAGAGAAAGTAAAGAAATACAAGATGTTGGGGCAAAAAACCCAAAATGTTAGGGAAAGCATGGTTAAAAAACAGATCTAAAGAGAAAAGGAGAGGTTATGCATTTCTGGAAAAATTCAGAAAAGCAGGCAAGACTTGAGGGAGAGCCTATTTGTAACTGACAGGTTCACAAGAACTGCATTTAGAGACTAGGGATTCTGGTCAGGAAAAGTTCAGCACCTCATTGACACACTAGGTATTCCACCCATGTCTTTAGCATAACTTAAGGTAAACCTACCTTCCCAGGGGTGGTCCTGTGACCACGTGATCTGGCAAAACTGGAAAGTTGGGTCTTCATCCAGGCCAGAGACTGTTAGCTTCTTGATCAGCTAATCTTACAGGGTTTTTTTTTGCTACTGTAACAAAAAGACCCTTTAGCAATGCTGGATGTGACATAGACATATACCATAAATGGGATCCCTTCCCCATCTCCCTGTCTCCATCCCTTTAAGATTTCCTGTGGTTTGGTGGAGTCTCTACTTTGTGTAGTCTTTAAAATATAACCTTCAGTCTTCTCTGTTCATTGGGGCCCACTGCCCAGCAGAGACTCACACATTACACATTGCTCCTACCCAGTACATCAGTAAATGCTTTTTGTGTAAAGAAGCAGAGACTCACTTTCTCTCTGTTTTCTGTCTCAATAAAATCAAACTCCTTATTGGGAAAATACAATTTTTAAAGTATAAAAGACATGAAAATATCAGAACTTTGCAAGAACACATTGCGATCAGGAAGGGGAGTTGTGCTCCCTTGCAGGCCTCTCTGTGTTGTGAGCATTGCGAGCTGTCTTGTCGCCCTGTGTTCAGCCAAGTGACGTTCGTCTCTGTCCTGCAGTGTCTGGAAGTTGGTAGACATGCAGGCCATCTTTCCAGACGGAAACATGAGCCATCAGTCTCTGGCACTGTGTCTGCCCCTCAGAACCCAGGTGCAGCCTCAGCATCCTTCTACCAGAGCCCCAGCTGCTACCCTCAGCAAGCAGTTGAGGCACTGTCAACCCTGGTCCCACTTCTGTATGTTCTGGTGTTCTATACCTGAACAGCTGATCACCAGCCACAGAATTTGCTCCTATCAGAAGGCAGATAACAAAGACCATAGACTGCTGCAGAATATCACAAAGAAGAGGTTGTTGCTTCACTAAGACCTCACATGCAATGTGAATGTTAGGGCTTTAGCCTAAGTCAGCAACTCCCAGCCCTGGTCCCAGAGAGGGGCCTACTGAAGGGTGTGTACACCCTTGGTTCCCAATGCAATCTCCTTAGGCTCTCCAGATTCTCAGTGATGGTTCATGTGGAGTTTGAGTCCTTCCTATCCTTCTATATCTGAAACCAGACTTCTCCAGACATTTATAAGGAGCGGGCCCTACAAGTACCAGCACTGTGTTTTCTCTCTGACTGTCCCACCTTGCTACTGTGGGGATCTCTCTGAGGAAAACTATGTAACAATGTAGAAAGAGTTCCACCAGAAGTGGCAGAGGGCTGTGTCTTTCTGCCTGGGGTAAGTGAAGGGCAGTGAGCAGCTTTGGCTGGGCAGAGTTAGGTCCTCCTTTCTGCCAGACTCTGTACAGGTAGCCCCATACTGCACTGTCCACCTCAGAAGCAGACGCCAATGGCCACCCCTCACCGCACCTAGTCTAGGTCTTGAATGGCCTGGCCTACCTCTGTTCATGCAGGTGGGTTTTTTTGACAAGTGTGGTTGATCAGAGTCAAAGCTCTGCTCACTGTTCTACAGAGTAGTCCAAAGTAGTCCATCCACCCTTTCCAGGAACAACTTAAGAGCTTGGTGCTCTGTATTTTAATCTCAGAGCTAAAAATATAATCAGAATCCCAGAAAACTTTTAAGAGTAATGAGATACTAGTACATGACAGTCAAACTTAAGATGATATTGAACTTATCTCTCGGTAAACTTAAACACCAAACCAAAGCAAAATTATCCAGGACAAATCTTCCTTTGCATTCAGTGTTGACCTTGTCCCTAAGAAACCACTTTTAAGTAACTGGCCTGCCAAGACATGTTAATGCCACAGGGATGCTGTCTGTCTAGTCATACACTGCTTCATACATAAGAGGAAGATCTTCTACCTCAATTGTGAGCCCCCTGCAAGCTTTGTCACCCTTGTGAAGAATTCTTGACCAGGTCCAGCTTGTCATGGGGTGAACTTGAATAGTAGAAATAGTAGAGAAGCTTTCCTGGGACCAGAAGTCTCATAGCTCAAGATTGCCAGGGTTAACATACAATATATAGACTATTCTGCCCTACACATCATTTAATATCTTTTTATCAATAGTGAGGGATGTTCTAGGAAAAGAACTGTGCTTTCTCTTAAGTGTAATTTTTCATAAACAGGAGAGTGTGCACCTCTATTTAGCAGGCTGGACAAAAGCCTGCCAAGTCACTTTTCATAGGTTTTTTGTCATAAGCAACAAAGGATTTTAGAAATGGCCCCAAACTTAAGTTTTGATGAAGTTCCTTTTGTAAGTAACAGCAGACTGCATTTGATATGTACACAATATTTGTAAGTGGTAGGTCAGGCACAGGGCATTCGACTGGGCTGCTCTGACTTGTACTCTGCCCTAGATGATACCAGAGGAAGGCATCAAAAAAAGATCCGAAGCAGAACACAGCATTACCTCAACCTGTATGCAGTGGAAGGCCTGCGTACCCTGTGCATTGCCAAGAGGGTGAGTGGGGGCCGCCTTCCTGAGGGTGCGCCCCTGCCATTTGCGGCACTCAGTATAGCACTCAATAGTGTGTCTCCACAGGTTCTGAGCAAAGAAGAGTATGCCTGTTGGTTGCAAGGCCACATTGAGGCAGAATCATCTGTGAACAACAGAGAGGAGCTCCTCTTCCAGTCTGCCATTCGCCTGGAGACGAACCTGCATCTTCTGGGTAATTAGGCTTTCCAGCTGCCTATTGTGTGATCAGTGCTGTTTGCAGAGAAAGCCTGACATAGGTAGTCACCTGGCTGCTCCTCACATTCTGGGCTTTTCTAGGCTTGTCTGAGGAACTGCCTGGCTTGATGCCAGCTTGTCCCCAGGCTGGAAGGTCTTTGAACTTTTCCTTCAGGCTGTTTCCACTGGGCTTGGGTACATCAGGCACTCCAGATTGGCTGTCATCGTGCCTTCCCTAAACCTCGCTTTTCCAACAAAGATGGAGATGAGGAGCAAGCCCTTTGACAACTGACAGTTAAAAAGATTTCAACCCCGTGGCAATCCACCAGAAACGTTTGTGGAACTGCTGCATTTTGCATCTTATGAATATTTCAGATTTATTGGGGATGAAAAGAAAATAGCTTATATTTCCTTCTTTGTCCCTATTTACATCTAACAAATACTAATTACTATTAATAAGAGTTAAGATATTTGTTATTTTGGCACTTATTTTAATATTTAATTTAGTATTTCAATATTTTAGTATTTCGTATTTATTAAATTAGTGAATGAGTCTGGTTGAGTGTACCAGGACTGTGTATGTGTGCCCCCAGAGGAAACGGCTGTCAGAGTACTGTATGCTCCTCCTTTGGAGAACGTTAGTCAGATTTCACTAGTTCTTCAGAGAGCCCCAGAGAATTCATTTTTTCTCATTTAACACAGCTTGTGTTTACTTGTCCTCATTCTTTGGGCAGAGGGATTGGGAAATCTACATTTCCATATATACAGATATCTATTAATAGTGTTAATATTTAATAGCCTAATGTGTCTTAGATATAATGAGTATCTTCACAAACTTTGCCCACAGTTTCTGGCTGACCATATCCTACTCAAAAAGCTGTGGGGCTTGGAACCCAGAGACGTAGTGAGTGCTATCCCTGGTAAACTAAATGAAGCCCCTCAAAAGTATCGCTTCCTATTTTAAGTCACTGTTTTGATTTACTGACTTGGACTGCCATCTCTGGGATAGGCATCCCTAGTGGGGTGTAGGGTGGGGCCTGCGCCTGTGCTCTCAGCTACTCCAGAAACTAAGCAGGAGGATTGCTTGTACCCAGGAGTTCAAGGCCAACCTGAGCAGCATAGTGACACTTCTGGCTTCATAAAGCATACAACAGCCAGACATACTGCTGCACACCAGTAATTCCAGCACTTAGGAGGTGAAAGTAGCAGGAATGTAACTTTGAGGCCAATCTGGGCTACACAGAGGGACCCTGTCTCAAAAAGAAGAACAACACCATAAATCAGACAATATAAAAACCAAGAAAGGGCTTTCTTGGAATGTTCTTTAGTGATGGCCTGAGGTATAACAGGGAAGATGTCCAGCTGGTCCTTCTGGACCACCTGCCCAGCCTCTCTGATCCTACTCACTCTCCCTCCATGGCTGAGGTGGGTGGGTGGTCCCACCCACCTCAGATAGCATTAACTTCTGAGATGAAGTAAAGTTTGCATCTGGTACCTTCTCACAGCAGGTGTTGTTCCACTCAGGAGCAATGCAGATGGAATCTCTCTTCCCTTTCCCAAGTCATGACTGACCTTAGCTGTGGAGAACATAGCTAAGAGCTGCTGGGGGCCTACTCTGCTGTCCCTTCCGTCAGTCTTAGAGCCCTGCCATGGTGTCCAGTCTCAGTTCAGCCATTTACTGACTGTGCAAGCTTGGGCAAGTGACTCAGTCTTTTTTGTATCTAAGTTTCCCTATCTGCTATGTGGGGAATAATAGTTCCAACATGGGAAGGCTGTTATGAGGGTGAAAAGAAAGAATGACTTGAAGCACTGGGTGTGGTTTGGGTATAGGGTCTAGTGCTCAGCTACTTGCATGGTGATGAATCTCATATGATTACATCCACATCTGTGATAGCCTGACTGGTCTTTCTCTACAAACTGTCTCTGGTCACTAGGCAGCCATCACATCCCTGGTCTTATGTGTTGTATCTCTTTTAACCTGCGCTAAGTTAGAAGAATACCCCAGGTATACCTTAGCCTCACACTTAACATGGAATCAACTCACCTGTACCTTTCACTGTTTTGCGTGAACTCATGAATTTTACATGCTCTTTGATACTATGTTGGTAACTTGAAATTATCCAAAGTGAGAATATTTATATCATGGAAATGGGCAAAATTCAACAGATCCATCTTGCTCTTGCAAACCAGTTGTTAACCACTTTCCACCTCCTACCACTTGGTATAAATATTTTATTTTTTGGTGAGAATTTCATAAATGTATTGTGATCATACTCACCCCCAACTCCTCCCCTTAACTCCTCCAAAATCCACCCTTGTCTCCCTACCCTCTCCCAGTGTTGGCTCTTCCTTAAAAAAAACAAAAAACAGTAAAATCCAAATTGACACCAATTTGTGCTGTCCATATAATCCCGGGTATGGGACCATCCCATGGAGTGTGGTTTTCCTGCTAGGAGCCACACCCTTAAAGAAAACTGAGTCTTCCTCTCCTAAAAGACGTCAACTGTACATAGGTCCTCAGTTAGGGATGTGGGCTCATATACCCCTTTCCACTCCATCCATGTAGAATGTTGACTGGCTTGATCTTGTACAGTTCTTACATAGGCAACCATAGTTGCTGTGATCTCATGAGTGCAGCAGGCCTGTCATATCCAGGAGACATGGGTTTGCTCTGCTCTGGTCATCCCCAGCCTATGACTCTTCTGGACCCTCTTTCACAATGGTCCCTGAACCTTGGAGAGGAGGTTATATTTATGTTTTAAATGATAATGACTAAGTTTGAAAAATACGAGAGCCACCCAACACAGCTTGACCAACAGGCAAGGAGTTCAGCTACTATGTTCCAACCCCTCTTCCTCATTTCTGAGAAATGTGAAAGGAGCCGTTTATGTCTTTAATATGCCTAAGTCAAATTTCTGTCTAAATATTTTTATTTAAGTGCTCATATTAAATAGCCCCAGAGAACCACAAATAGTATCTTCAGTAGGAAGGATCACTTGGTTCTTGAAACTTCCATTTTTAGTCAAGAATTAAATTAAAAATATAGAATTTTATTCACTTTCCCCAGTGTTCTTGCTGGTTTCTCTAAATGTCATTTGAAACTCCCCATTTCAGAACATCCTTTCCCCTTCCATCAAAAGCCACCTGACACTTGACCCCAGTGATACATTGTATCACTAGCTAATCTCTGAGCTCTGCCAACTACCCAGATTATTATACCCAGGAATGCCAGGTCCTCCCAGGGGTCAAGGCATAAAGAAGCTGGCATTTAGTCAAAATCATGTAAAGTGTATTACAAACAGGTTACGCTCCCAAGGTATTGGGAGACTGAAGAAAGAAACTATGTTTCAAATCATTTTTTGAAATTTATTTTATTTTAAATTATTTGTGTTGTGTGTGTGTGTGTGTGTGTGTATGAGCATGTGTGTGAGGGTGCCAACGAAGACCAGAAGAGGGTATTGGATCCCCCAGAACTAGAGTTACAAAGGATTATGTGCCACCCAAGATGGATGGTAGTAATCAAACTCTGGTCCTCTAGAAGATCAGTAAGTGCTCTTAACCACTGAGCCGTCTCTCCAGCCTCTCAAATTATTTTCATAAACTTTGATTCTTTTTCGTCAGCCATAGTTCATGCTTGGCTGGATGTGTGCTTTCCATAGCTATTAAGGTTGATGTTTGAATTAGACCTGCAGGTTGTAGGGCTGACACTGGTGAAATGGCCTCAGAGGGAGCCCTTTGGCTAATTGGCTCTTTAACTGGGAAGTTGTATTTCTGTTTCATGTGTTAGGTTTCCTCTGAAAGATGCAGACCCCTGCAGTGTGCAGCAACCTGTGAAGCCTTGGGTGCTTTCTCTCTTGGTTGACATTTTACTAAGAGATCTTAGCTGAGTGGCTGTGATACAAAGGCGGGTAACTCAAGGCCAAGTCACCTGTGGGAATTTGTCATCTGTTGGAGTCTTGGTAACTGGTTGCATAACATGTTTGTATACTTTCTGTCACTGACAAAACACTTGAGAAAAATCAACTTAAAATAAAAGTTTATTTTAGCTCATGGTTTTAGAGACTTTACTCCATGGTTGCTTGATTTGCTGCTTTGGACCCTGTGGTGAGGCAGAATATTTTGGTGGGAGTGGATTCTACTGCCCTTTAGGGTGTTAGGAAGTAAGAGACTGAGACAGAAAAGGGCCACGATCCAGTATCTTCAGTGACTGACGTCTGGCTACTAAGTCCCACTTCCTTCAGGTTTCATACCTCCATTGTTGCCATAGGCTGAGGACCAAGCCTTTAACACATGGACCTAGACATTCACGATCCAAACTGCAACAAGTTACTTTCCAAGTACTATGATAGCAGCATTATCCCAGCTAATCTATCAAGTGTAGCCATTGCTATGATTATACTGTAATCACTGATATTATGATCAATTATGGAGGAACTGGGAGTACACCATGGCAGATAAACCTGTCCCTTATTTTATCTCCAAACGCCAAAGAACATATCACAGAAGTGACTCATAGCTTGAGCCAGAGACCCAAGCTACCACATTCCCCCTTCTGGTACTCTATCCCCACCCCCCAAAAGGGCTCTAAGGCTAAGAGGAAGAGGGAAAGACTAAGACTAGAGGCTCTTCTGGAAGAGGGATTAAAATGGTATTCACAGTTAATGCAGAGCATAGCATACAGCCTTGTTCCTCAGCAGATCTTAGTCACCACCCTGACCAGTCTGCTTCCTGCGGGGACTCTGTGGTCTTAAGGTTCTAAGCAAAGGGCAGCTTCCCTAAAATGTCTTCTTCTCTCTGGATCCTTTGCAAATTCCCACCTATCCTCTGGTACCTCCGTTCTACTTGTCCTTCCCCTGTCAGAGTTTGGTTTGACTCAGTGCATAGGCTATCTGAGCTAGAAAAAAGATCAACCACATGCCCTGAGGGAACTTTGGAAGGCTAGTAATCTTTGCCTCATTGACACAAAAATGTGATTTCTGAAAGTATATCCAATGGTATGTTTGAGAAATATGGAATCTTTGTATGTACTGTAGACCTTGATTCTTCCCCTCTCCTGCCTGCTGTCTCTATTCTATGAAAAGGGGAAAGGATATCTTAACTCAAATGAGCTGTTGTGGGAGTCACCATAGGCTAGATGATTTAAACAATACACATTTACTTCCTATCATTCAGATTGCTAGAAATCCAAGATCAAGATACCAGTAGGTCCAGTGTCTAGTGAAGGCTGTCTTCTTGGTGGGTCCTCACTTGGTGGAGAGAGACTGTCCCTAGTGCCTCTTCCTATAGATAGCAGTCTTATCAGGGCCCTACCTCATGGCCTCATCTAATCCTCATCACTTCCCAAAGGCTCCATCTCTTAACAGTGTCACATTGGGAATTAGAGCTTCACTCTGTGAATCTGAGAGCATTGTTGGGGAAGGTAGAGACACAGCCATATATTCTGTAACAGTGCCCCAACACAAGGAACTGTGTTACAAAGGAACAAAGTAAGAATGTCAAGGAGCCTCAGCCAGGGCTAGAGCCTAGGACACCATGGTCTGCAACTCACTTCTGAGGTGGGAACAGAAACCATCTTACCAAGGTGAACACAGTTAAGAAACAGAGGCAGCCCCTGTGGTGGTTGGAATGAGAATGCCCTCCTTGACTCCAAGTTTGTGGCACTGTTTGGGAAAGTCATAGAACCTTTAGGAGGTAGGGCCACCCTGGAGGAAGCATGTCACTGGGGGTGGGCTTGAGAGTATATAGCCTTATCCCACTTCCAGTCTGACTCTGTTTCCTGTACCTGCTTGAAGATGTAAACTCTGCGCATTTCTGCTTGCTGCCTCCTGCCATACTCTTCACCATCATGGACCACAAATTCAATAAATTCCTCCTTCTGTAAGTTGTCTTGGCAAGGGTGTTTTAATTACAGCAACAGAAAAGTAGCTAATATACCCAGACATTTTTGGCACTGAGTATAGGTTGAGTACCCTCCATCATCTGTTTTTGTTGTATTGGTGTTTGGTTTGATTGTTGAGGTGTTTTTCTTCTGTTTTGTTTGTTCATTTGTTTGTTTTGGTACATACACAATGAGACAGATACCTAGAGGATAGGACCTGAGTCTACATGTCAAACTCATTTTATAAACCTTACTCCTATGCACAAAGCCTGAAGGCAATTAATTGTAGGCAATATTTGTGGTGTACTTGTATTTTGATGGCAGTCTGTCACATGAGATCATATGGGAAATTTTGGCTGTGGCTTCATGTTGCCACTCAAAAAGTTTGAAATATTGGAGCATTTCAGATTTCATATTTTGCTGATTAGAGATGTTCAACCTGTTTTATATTTTTCCAAACATAATGAGATCAGTAAAGGGAATTTGCCTCTTGAATTCTTTATGCTTGTGGAAAAAACATCCAGGATAATGTTGCTTTGAAAAGCTACTGAGTCTGTCTGCACTTTCTGCTTTGATACCAAATGCTGCGAGTAAACACAGAATTCCACACACAGAAGCTCTCCACAGGACGGGATGGATGACTGATTGGGCTCTTTCTTTTTAATCCCTTGGGAATCCAGTCACCCCCACCACCCTCCACCCCCACCCCAGGTCTTTGTTTTCAGGTTTCCGGTAAAGTTAACTGCATGTTAGCAAGAATTCGAGGTAATCCTTTGTGAGTATTCATAGTTATGTTCGCTGACTCGCACTTGTTCTTCCTACACATTCCTGACTGAGTCACTCCAACAGCTATCCGAGGTAGCCACCACAGTCTTAAAATGGTGAACCATCAGTTTGCTTCCAGATGGGGCTTTCTGCCACCCAGTGTCACCTGTAAGATGAAACCCAGGAAGGTCTCAGTGGGAAGTGCCACTCCTGGTCTTTGAATATGCTTTCCAAATAGCATTTGTACCTCATCAGGAATGGGGGCATGTGAAGAGGAGCTCACTTGTACTCTCATACATTTGACCAGGTGCCACCGGGATTGAAGACCGCCTTCAGGATGGAGTTCCGGAAACCATTGCTAAATTGCGGCAAGCTGGCCTGCAGATTTGGGTTCTCACAGGTGACAAACAGGAAACAGCCATTAACATTGCATATGCTTGCAAGTTGCTGGACCATGGTGAGGAAGTTATCACACTGAATGCTGAATCTCAGGTACTTGGCTTTCAGAGAGGCTCTGATCTGCCTAGGGTGACCTCCTATCTGCAATGTTGTGTTGGCTGCTCACTTCTTCAAAGTCAGTGGCATCCAGTTGGTAAATGGGGTGGATCCATTCTTGTGTTTTAATAGTCAACAGGAAAGACTTCCTGAGTGTCCTTGGCGCACCATTTCCCTTGTGTCTGAAGCCCTCACTTCTGCAATTCCTTTAGTACAGGTCTACTGACAACAAATGTTGCTGCTTTCTTCGGAGGATGTCTTTACCTCCCCTTTCTTCTGGAACAGTATCTTCATTGAGTATTGAAGACTGAAATGGCAATTATTTTCTTTCAACGCCCTAAGAATACTGTACTCCCTTCCAGACATATGGTTCTAATGAGAAATATGTAGTCATTGAATCTTTGTTGCCTTATAACTCATGACTGTTTTTCTGTGGCTGTGGTTGGATTTTTTTTTTCTTTGCCCTTTGTTTTAAACAGTTTGATCATGGTGTGATTGTATTTCAAGCTTGCTGACTTTTTTCTGTTATTGCTTTTTTGGTACTAAGTCCATAGAGTAAGGGTTTTTTTTGTTGTTTGTTTGTTTGTTTGTTTTTGTTTTTTAAGAAAATAAACTGTGTGTAGAATGGTTTCAGATTTGCAGAAAAGTTTCGGAAGATAATCATAGAGGATTCTCATATCAGTTTGAAGAAGGTTGTTTAAAGAGTGTCATAATTTTGAGATTTATCTGATATTTTTCTTATGACCAGAGTAGAGCTCTGGATTTTTGTGGAGGACATGAAGTACCGTTTTATCACATCTTATCTACATGACATTGTGTTGATATTGATCTGGTATTCGTCAGGTTTGTTTCCTCCCACCCCCTTTCCATACTGAATTCTTTGGAAGGAAGTCCCTGAGAGCTCATACTTGGGAAGTGTGGAGTTACAGTCCACCTCTGTGAATGCAGAGTATCTGTATGGTTATTCAGAAGTCCTTTAGCATTTCACTTTGGTTTAAACATTTCAGGTTCTAAAATTTCTATTTGGTCTTTCTATGTATAACTTGCAATTTCTTTTTTTCTGAAACTCCTATTTTTCTGCTAATTTTCAGAATGCTAGTGCTAACTTGAAGCTTTTCTAGACTGGATGTTTTAATGTCTCTGTTAGGTCACTCCATTGTCTGGGTTACCTTATGGCCATTGTGCTTTTCTACATGAGCTGAGATTTCTTGGTTCTTTGGACACTTAGAAGCCTTTGGCTCATGTCATTAGCAATATGGATAGTATGTTATAACACTCTGACCATAATTTATTCCTCTGGAGAATGGATTTTTTTTTTTTAAGCAGGTGGTTCTCCCTGTTAGATTTGAACTTCAGGGTCTGCCCAACCTCTATCAGATGGGCTCTACTGGCAGATTTGTTTCACCTTTGTGGGCTCCCAGCATCTTATCTTTGAATATATATTTTCTGT